AGGACAGGTTACCACACACTGAATTGACGCCATACATTTCCCTTCATCTTGGCTGAATACTGGCTTGTCTTCAGGACATTTGATGCGTTGAGGCTTCATGGAAAAATCGTCAATGAAGTAACAAACATAGAAATAATGGCAGTCTGTTGGGTCTGCTAGCCAGGAATCAGGTATGAGGCAGGTAGGCTGACAGATTGATGGTAGTGTCCCTGATGATGAGATATTTTGGTATGTTAGTGAGATGTCGAATGAGGACTGGGTGGTGTTGGGGGCCAAGGAAGGAAAAGACGAAGTAACAACTTCTGGTCCTGCGTTGTCAGTACCAGCTTGAATATCTACAGGAAAAGCTGCGGGAGCTGGGTGCACCATCTGGGCAGGAAAAGGAAGCGAAGTAGATGTTGCTGTTGTGACACTACCAGCGAGTAATGCACTTGTTGGAGTAACACCTGTGACTGTACTATGAAGATGTGTTACACCTGTGCTTGTGCTAGGCGGTGTTGGTACATCAGTAGATGTACCAGGCAGTGATATAATACTTATGACGGGTACCACTGTGCTTGTGCTAGGCGGTGTTGGTACATCAGTAGATGTACCAGGCAGTGATATAATACTTATGACGGTACCTTGCAGTGACGTAACACTTGTCACTGCATCAGGGAATGACGCACTATCTGTTGGTACACCTGGCAGTGTTATAACACTTGTGACTTTACCATACACTGTTGTAACACTTGTAATTGCACCAGGGAATGAAATAACACCTGTGCCTGTACCACCTGTGACTGTACTATGAAGATGTGTTACACCTGTGCTTGTGCTAGGCGGTGTTGGTACATCAGTAGATGTACCAGGCAGTGATATAATACTTATGACGGTACCTTGCAGTGACGTAACACTTGTCACTGCATCAGGGAATGACGCACTATCTGTTGGTACACCTGGCAGTGTTATAACACTTGTGACTTTACCATACACTGTTGTAACACTTGTAATTGCACCAGGGAATGAAATAACACCTGTGCCTGTACCACCTGTGACTGTACTATGAAGAAACATCAGTAGATGTACCAGGCAGTGATATAATACTTATGACGGTACCTTGCAGTGACGTAACACTTGTCACTGCATCAGGGAATGACGCACTATCTGTTGGTACACCTGGCAGTGTTATAACACTTGTGACTTTACCATACACTGTTGTAACACTTGTAATTGCACCAGGGAATGAAATAACACCTGTGCCTGTACCACCTGTGACTGTACTATGAAGATGCGTTACACCTGTGCTTGTACTAGACGGTGTTGGTGCATCAGTAGATGTACCAGGCAGTGATATAATACTTATGACTGTACCTTGCAGTGACGTAACACTTGTCACTGCATCAGGGAATGACGCAACATCTGTTGGTACACCTGGCAGTGTTATAACACTTGTGACTGTACCATATACTGTTGTAACACTTGTAGCTGCACCAGGGAATGAAATAAAACCTGTGGCTGTACCAAGCAGTGATGTAACACCTGTGACTGCAACAGGCACCTGTGTTACAGCTGTGATTGTGCTAGGCACTGTTGGTACATCAGTGGATGTACCAGGCAGTGATATAACACTTACGACTGTACCTTGCAGTACCGTAACACTTGTAACTGCACCAGGGAATGACGCAACATCTGTTGGTACACCTGGCAGTGTTATAACACTTGTGACTTTACCATACACAGTTGTAACACTTGTAGCTGCACCAGGGAATGAAATAACACCTGTGACTGTACCATGCAAGGTAGTTAAGTCTGTTACTGTACCAGGCAGTGATATAACACTTACGACTGTACCTTGTAGTGACGTAACACTTGTAACTGCCCCAGGGAATGACGCAACATCTGTTGGTACACCTGGCAGTGTTATAACACTTGTGACTGTACCATACACTGTTGTAACACTTGTAGCTGCACCAGGGAATGAAATAACACCTGTGCCTGTGCCAGGCAGAGATGTTACACTTGTGACTGTACTAGGCAGTGATGTTATACCGGTGAATGTACCGGGCAGTGATATGACACTTACGATGGTACCTTGCAGTGACGTAACACTTGTAACTGCCCCAGGGAATGACGCAACATCTGTTGGTACACCTGGCAGTGTTATAACACTTGTGACTGTGCCATACACTGTTGTAACACTTGTAGCTGCACCAGGGAATGAAATAACACTTGTGCCTGTACCAAGCAGTGATGTAACACCTGCGACTGCAACAGGCACCTGTGTTACAGCTGTGATTGTGCTAGGCGGTGTTGGTACATCAGTGGATGTACCAGGCAGTGATATAACACTTACGACTGTACCTTGCAGTGACGTAACACTTGTAACTGCCCCAGGGAATGACGCAACATCTGTTGGTACACCTGGCAGTGTTATAACACTTGTGACTGTACCATACACTGTTGTAACACTTGTAGCTGCACCAGGGAATGAAATAACACCTGTGCCTGTGCCAGGCAGAGATGTTACACTTGTGACTGTACTAGGCAGTGATGTTATACCGGTGAATGTACCGGGCAGTGATATGACACTTACGATGGTACCTTGCAGTGACGTAACACTTGTAACTGCCCCAGGGAATGACGCAACCTCTGTTGGTACACCTGGCAGTGTTATTACACTTGTGACTGTACCATATACTGTTGTAACACTTGTAGCTGCACCAGGGAATGAAATAACACCTGTGCCAGTGCCAGGCAAAGATGTTACACTTGTGACTGTACTAGGCAGTGATGTTATACCGGTGAATGTACCGGGCAGTGATATGACACTTACGATGGTACCTTGCAGTGACATAACACTTGTCACTGCATCAGGGAATGACACAACATCTGTTGGTACACCTGGCAATGTTATAACACTTGTGACTGTACCATACACTGTTGTAACACTTGTTGCTGCTCCAAGGAATGTGGTTATACCACCTGTGACTGTTCCAGGCACTGATGTAACACTTGTGACTACACCAGGGAATGATGTAACACCTGGCAGTGATATAACACTAGTTACAGTGCCATGTAATGATGTAACACTTGTAATTGCACCAGGAAATGATGTAACACCTGGCAGTGATATAACACTAGTTACAGTGCCATGTAATGATGTAACACTTGTGACTGCATCAGGAAATGATGTAACACCTGTGACTGTTCCAGGCAGTGATGTTGCACCTGTGTCTGTTCCAGGCAGTGATGTTGCACCTGTGTCTGTTCCAGGCAGTGATGTTGCACCTGTGACTGTTCCAGGCAGTGATGTTGCACCTGTGACTGTTCCAGGCAGTGATGTTGCACCTGTGTCTGTTCCAGGCAGTGATGTTGCACCTGTGACTGTTCCAGGCAGTGATGTTGCACCTGTGACTGTTCCAGGCAGTGATGTTGCACCTGTGACTGTTCCAGGCAGTGATGTTGCCCCTGTGACTGTTCCAGGCACTGATGTTGCACCTGTGACTGTTCCAGGCACTGATGTTGCACCTGTGACTGTTCCAGGCACTGATGTTGCACCTGTGACTGTTCCAGGCAGTGATGTTGCACCTGTGTCTGTTCCAGACACTGATGTTACACCTGTGACTGTTCCAGGCAGTGATGTTGCACCTGTGTCTGTTCCAGGCAGTGATGTTGCACCTGTGTCTGTTCCAGGCAGTGATGTTGCACCTGTGTCTGTTCCAGGCAGTGATGTTACACCTGTGACTGTTCCAGGCAGTGATGTTGCACCTGTGACTGTTCCAGTCAGTGATGTTAGAACTGTGACTGTTCCAGGCAGTAATGTTGCACCTGTGACTGTTCCAGGCAGTGATGTTGCACCTGTGGGTGTTCCAGGCAGTGATATAACACTTACGACTGTACCTTGTAGTGACGTAACACTTGTAACTGCCCCAGGAAATGACGCAACATCTGTTGGTACACCTGGCAGTGTTATAACACTTGTGACTGTACCATACACTGTTGTAACACTTGTAGCTGCACCAGGGAATGAAATAACACTTGTGCCTGTACCAAGCAGTGATGTAACACCTGCGACTGGAACAGGCACCTGTGTTACAGCTGTGATTGTGCTAGGCGGTGTTGGTACATCAGTGGATGTACCAGGCAGTGATATAACACTTACGACTGTACCTTGCAGTGACGTAACACTTGTAACTGCCCCAGGAAATGACGCAACATCTGTTGGTACACCTGGCAGTGTTATAACACTTGTGACTGTACCATACACTGTTGTAACACTTGTAGCTGCACCAGGGAATGAAATAACACCTGTGCCTGTGCCAGGCAGAGATGTTACACTTGTGACTGTACTAGGCAGTGATGTTATACCGGTGAATGTACCGGGCAGTGATATGACACTTACGATGGTACCTTGCAGTGACATAACACTTGTCACTGCATCAGGGAATGACACAACATCTGTTGGTACACCTGGCAATGTTATAACACTTGTGACTGTACCATACACTGTTGTAACACTTGTTGCTGCTCCAAGGAATGTGATTGTACCACCTGTGACTGTTCCAGGCACTGATGTAACACTTGTGACTACACCAGGGAATGATGTAACACCTGGCAGTGATATAACACTAGTTACAGTGCCATGTAATGATGTAACACTTGTAACCGCACCAGGAAATGATGTAACACCTGGCAGTGATATAACACTAGTTACAGTGCCATGTAATGATGTAACACTTGTAACTGCATCAGGAAATGATGTAACACCTGTGACTGTTCCAGGCACTGATGTTGCACCTGTGTCTGTTACAGACAGTGATGTTGCACCTGTGTCTGTTCCAGGCAGTGATGTTGCACCTGTGACTGTTCCAGGCAGTGATGTTGCACCTGTGTCTGTTCCAGGCAGTGATGTTGCACCTGTGACTGTTCCAGGCACTGATGTTGGATCTGTGACTGTTCCAGGCACTGATGTTGCACCTGTGACTATTCCAGGCAGTGATGTTGCACCTGTGACTGTTCCAGGCAGTGATGTTGCACCTGTGACTGTTCCAGGCACTGATGTTGGATCTGTGACTGTTCCAGGCACTGATGTTGCACCTGTGACTGTTCCAGGCAGTGATGTTGCACCCGTGTCTGTTCCAGGCAGTGATGTTGCACCTGTGACTGTTCCAGGCAGTGATGTTGCACCTGTGACTGTTCCAGGCAGTGATGTTGCACCTGTGTCTGTTCCAGGCACTGATGTTACACCTGTAACTGTTCCAGGCAGTGATGTTGCACCTGTGTCTGTTCCAGGCAGTGATGTTGCACCTGTGTCTGTTCCAGGCAGTGATGTTGCACCTGTGTCTGTTCCAGGCAGTGATGTTGCATCTGTGTCTGTTCCAGGCAGTGATATTACACCTGTGACTGTTCCAGGCAGTGATGTTGCACCTGTGTCTGTTCCAGGCAGTGATGTTGCACCTGTGTCTGTTCCAGGCAGTGATGTTGCATCTGTGTCTGTTCCAGGCAGTGATGTTGCACCTGTGACTGTTCCAGGCAGTGATGTTGCACCTGTGACTGTTCCAGTCAGTGATGTTAGAACTGTGACTGTTCCAGGCAGTAATGTTGCACCTGTGACTGTTCCAGGCAGTGATGTTGTACCTGTGGGTGTTCCAGGCAGTGATATAACACTTACGACTGTACCTTGTAGTGACGTAACACTTGTAACTGCCCCAGGAAATGACGCAACATCTGTTGGTACACCTGGCAGTGTTATAACACTTGTGACTGTACCATACACTGTTGTAACACTTGTAGCTGCACCAGGGAATGAAATAACACCTTGTGCCTGTACCAAGCAGTGATGTAACACCTGCGACTGGAACAGGCACCTGTGTTACAGCTGTGATTGTGCTAGGCGGTGTTGGTACATCAGTGGATGTACTAGGCAGTGATATAACACTTACGACTGTACCTTGCAGTGACGTAACACTTGTAACTGCCCCAGGAAATGACGCAACATCTGTTGGTACACCTGGCAGTGTTATAACACTTGTGACTGTACCATACACTGTTGTAACACTTGTAGCTGCACCAGGGAATGAAATAACACCTGTGCCTGTGCCAGGCAAAGATGTTACACTTGTGACTGTACTAGGCAGTGATGTAATACCGGTGAATGTACCGGGCAGTGATATGACGCTTACGATGGTACCTTGCAGTGACATAACACTTGTCACTGCATCAGGGAATGACACAACATCTGTTGGTACACCTGGTAATGTTATAACACTTGTGACTGTACCATACACTGTCGTAACACTTGTTGCTGCTCCAAGGAATGTGATTGCACCACCTGTGACTGTTCCAGGCACTGATGTTACACCTGTCACTGTTCCAGGCACTGATGTTACACCTGTCACTGTTCCAGGCACTGATGTAACACCTGTCACAGTTCCAGGCACTGATGTTACACCTGTCACTGTTCCAGGCACTGATGTTACACCTGTCACTGTTCCAGGATCTGTTGTTACACCTGTCACTGTTTCAGGCACTGATGTTACACCTGTGGCTGTTTCAGGCACTGATGTTACACCTGTGGCTGTTTCAGGCACTGATGTTACACCTGTAACTGTTCCAGGCACTGATGTTATACCTGTAACTGTTCCAGTCAGTGAAGTTAGAACTGTGACTGTACCAGGCACTGATGTTACACCTGTGACTGTTTCAGGCACTGATGTTACACCTGTAACTGTTCCAGGCACTGATGTAACACCTGTAACTGTTCCAGTCAGTGATGTTAGAACTGTGACTGTTCCAGGCAGTAATGTTGCACCTGTGACTGTTCCTGACAGTGATGTTGTACCTGTGTCTGTTCCAGGCAGTGATGTTGCCCCTGTGACTGTTCCTGGCAGTGATGTTGCACCTGTGACTGTTCCAGGCAGTGATGTTGCACCTGTGACTGTTCCAGGCACTGATGTTGCACCTGTGTCTGTTCCAGGCAGTGATGTTACACCTGTATCTGTTCCAGGCAGTGATGTTGCACCTGTGTCTGTTCCAGGCAGTGATGTTGCACCTGTGTCTGTTCCAGGCAGTGATGTTGCCCCTGTGACTGTTCCTGGCAGTGATGTTGCACCTGTGACTGTTCCAGGCAGTGATGTTGCACCTGTGACTGTTCCAGGCACTGATGTTGCACCTGTGTCTGTTCCAGGCAGTGATGTTGCACCTGTATCTGTTCCAGGCAGTGATGTTACACCTGTATCTGTTCCAGGCAGTGATGTTGCACCTGTGTCTGTTCCAGGCAGTGATGTTGCACCTGTGTCTGTTCCAGGCAGTGATGTTGCACCTGTGTCTGTTCCAGGCAGTGATGTTGCACCTGTGTCTGTTCCAGGCAGTGATGTTGCATCTGTGTCTGTTCCAGGCAGTGATATTACACCTGTGACTGTTCCAGGCAGTGATGTTGCACCTGTGACTGTTCCAGGCAGTGATGTTGCACCTGTGACTGTTCCAGGCACTGATGTTGCACCTGTGTCTGTTCCAGGCACTGATGTTACACCTGTATCTGTTCCAGGCAGTGATGTTGCACCTGTGTCTGTTCCAGGCAGTGATGTTGCCCCTGTGACTGTTCCTGGCAGTGATGTTGCACCTGTGACTGTTCCAGGCAGTGATGTTGCACCTGTGACTGTTCCAGGCACTGATGTTGCACCTGTGTCTGTTCCAGGCAGTGATGTTACACCTGTATCTGTTCCAGGCAGTGATGTTGCACCTGTGTCTGTTCCAGGCAGTGATGTTGCACCTGTGTCTGTTCCAGGCAGTGATGTTGCACCTGTGTCTGTTCCAGGCAGTGATGTTGCATCTGTGTCTGTTCCAGGCAGTGATATTACACCTGTGACTGTTCCAGGCAGTGATGTTGCACCTGTGACTGTTCCAGTCAGTGATGTTAGAACTGTGACTGTTCCAGGCAGTAATGTTGCACCTGTGACTGTTCCAGGCAGTGATGTTGTACCTGTGGGTGTTCCAGGCAGTGATATAACACTTACGACTGTACCTTGTAGTGACGTAACACTTGTAACTGCCCCAGGAAATGACGCAACATCTGTTGGTACACCTGGCAGTGTTATAACACTTGTGACTGTACCATACACTGTTGTAACACTTGTAGCTGCACCAGGGAATGAAATAACACCTGTGAGTGTACCAAGCAGTGATGTAACACCTGCGACTGGAACAGGCACCTGTGTTACAGCTGTGATTGTGCTAGGCGGTGTTGGTACATCAGTGGATGTACTAGGCAGTGATATAACACTTACGACTGTACCTTGCAGTGACGTAACACTTGTAACTGCCCCAGGAAATGACGCAACATCTGTTGGTACACCTGGCAGTGTTATAACACTTGTGACTGTACCATACACTGTTGTAACACTTGTAGCTGCACCAGGGAATGAAATAACACCTGTGCCTGTGCCAGGCAAAGATGTTACACTTGTGACTGTACTAGGCAGTGATGTAATACCGGTGAATGTACCGGGCAGTGATATGACACTTACGATGGTACCTTGCAGTGACATAACACTTGTCACTGCATCAGGGAATGACACAACATCTGTTGGTACACCTGGTAATGTTATAACACTTGTGACTGTACCATACACTGTCGTAACACTTGTTGCTGCTCCAAGGAATGTGATTGCACCACCTGTGACTGTTCCAGGCACTGATGTTACACCTGTCACTGTTCCAGGCACTGATGTTCTGATGTTACACCTGTCACTGTTCCAGGCACTGATGTTACACCTGTCACTGTTCCAGGCACTGATGTAACACCTGTCACAGTTCCAGACACTGATGTTACACCTGTCACTGTTCCAGGCACTACTGATGTTACACCTGTCACTGTTCCAGGATCTGTTGTTACACCTGTCACTGTTTCAGGCACTGATGTTACACCTGTGGCTGTTTCAGGCACTGATGTTACACCTGTGGCTGTTTCAGGCACTGATGTTACACCTGTAACTGTTCCAGGCACTGATGTTATACCTGTAACTGTTCCAGTCAGTGAAGTTAGAACTGTGACTGTACCAGGCACTGATGTTACACCTGTGACTGTTTCAGGCACTGATGTTACACCTGTAACTGTTCCAGGCACTGATGTAACACCTGTAACTGTTCCAGTCAGTGATGTTAGAACTGTGACTGTTCCAGGCAGTAATGTTGCACCTGTGACTGTTCCTGGCAGTGATGTTGTACCTGTGTCTGTTCCAGGCAGTGATGTTGCCCCTGTGACTGTTCCTGGCAGTGATGTTGCACCTGTGACTGTTCCAGGCAGTGATGTTGCACCTGTGACTGTTCCAGTCAGTGATGTTAGAACTGTGACTGTTCCAGGCAGTAATGTTGCACCTGTGACTGTTCCAGGTAGTGATGTTGCACCTGTGGGTGTTCCAGGCAGTGAAATAACACTTACGACTGTACCTGACAAGGACGTAACACTTGTAACTGCCCCAGGGAATGACGCAACATCTGTTGGTACACCTGGCAGTGTTATAACACTTGTGACTGTGCCATACACTGTTGTAACACTTGTAGCTGCACCAGGGAATGAAATAACACTTGTGCCTGTACCAAGCAGAGATGTAACACCTGTGACTGCAACAGGCACCTGTGTTACAGCTGTGATTGTGCTAGGCGGTGTTGGTACATCAGTGGATGTACCAGGCAGTGATATAACACTTACGACTGTACCTTGCAGAGACATAACACTTGTAACTGCCCCAGGGAATGACGCAACATCTGTTGGTACACCTGGCAGTGTTATAACACTTGTGACTGTACCATACACTGTTGTAACACTTGTAGCTGCACCAGGGAATGAAATAACACCTGTGCCTGTGCCAGTCAGAGATGTTACACTTGTGACTGTACTAGGCAGTGATGTTATACCGGTGAATGTACCGGGCAGTGATATGACACTTACGATGGTACCTTGCAGTGACGTAACACTTGTAACTGCCCCAGTGAATGACACAACATCTGTTGGTACACCTGGCAGTGTTATAACACTTGTGACTGTGCCATACACTGTTGTAACACTTGTAGCTGCACCAGGGAATGAAATAACACTTGTGCCTGTACCAAGCAGTGATGTAACACCTGCGACTGGCACAGGCACCTGTGTTACAGCTGTGATTGTGCTAGGCGGTGTTGGTACATCAGTGGATGTACCAGGCAGTGATATAACACTTACGACTGTACCTTGCAGAGACATAATACTTGTAACTGCCCCAGGGAATGACGCAACATCTGTTGGTACACCTGGCAGTGTTATAACACTTGTGACTGTACCATACACTGTTGTAACACTTGTAGCTGCACCAGGGAATGAAATAACACCTGTGCCTGTGCCAGGCAGAGATGTTACACTTGTGACTGTACTAGGCAGTGATGTTATACCGGTGAATGTACCGGGCAGTGATATGACACTTACGATGGTACCTTGCAGTGACGTAACACTTGTAACTGCCCCAGGGAATGACGCAACATCTGTTGGTACACCTGGCAGTGTTATAACACTTGTGACTGTGCCATACACTGTTGTAACACTTGTAGCTGCACCAGGGAATGAAATAACACTTGTGCCTGTACCAAGCAGTGATGTAACACCTGCGACTGCAACAGGCACCTGTGTTACAGCTGTGATTGTGCTAGGCGGTGTTGGTACATCAGTGGATGTACCAGGCAGTGATATAACACTTACGACTGTACCTTGCAGAGACATAACACTTGTAACTGCCCCAGGGAATGACGCAACATCTGTTGGTACACCTGACAGTGTTATAACACTTGTGACTGTACCATACACTGTTGTAACACTTGTAGCTGCACCAGGGAATGAAATAACACCTGTGCCTGTGCCAGGCAGAGATGTTACACTTGTGACTGTACTAGGCAGTGATGTTACACCGGTGAATGTACCGGGCAGTGATATGACACTTACGATGGTACCTTGCAGTGACGTAACACTTGTAACTGCCCCAGTGAATGACGCAACCTCTGTTGGTACACCTGGCAGTGTTATAACACTTGTGACTGTGCCATACACTGTTGTAACACTTGTAGCTGCACCAGGGAATGAAATAACACTTGTGCCTGTACCAAGCAGTGATGTAACACCTGCGACTGGCACAGGCACCTGTGTTACAGCTGTGATTGTGCTAGGCGGTGTTGGTACATCAGTGGATGTACCAGGCAGTGATATAACACTTACGACTGTACCTTGCAGAGACATAACACTTGTAACTGCCCCAGGGAATGACGCAACATCTGTTGGTACACCTGGCAGTGTTATAACACTTGTGACTGTACCATACACTGTTGTAACACTTGTAGCTGCACCAGGGAATGAAATAACACCTGTGCCTGTGCCAGGCAGAGATGTTACACTTGTGACTGTACTAGGCAGTGATGTTATACCGGTGAATGTACCGGGCAGTGATATGACACTTACGATGGTACCTTGCAGTGACGTAACACTTGTAACTGCCCCAGTGAATGACGCAACATCTGTTGGTACACCTGGCAGTGTTATAACACTTGTGACTGTGCCATACACTGTTGTAACACTTGTAGCTGCACCAGGGAATGAAATAACACTTGTGCCTGTACCAAGCAGTGATGTAACACCTGCGACTGGCACAGGCACCTGTGTTACAGCTGTGATTGTGCTAGGCGGTGTTGGTACATCAGTGGATGTACTAGGCAGTGATATAACACTTACGACTGTACCTTGCAGAGACATAACACTTGTAACTGCCCCAGGGAATGACGCAACATCTGTTGGTACACCTGGCAGTGTTATAACACTTGTGACTGTACCATACACTGTTGTAACACTTGTAGCTGCACCAGGGAATGAAATAACACCTGTGCCTGTGCCAGGCAAGGGATGTTACACTTGTGACTGTACTAGGCAGTGATGTTATACCGGTGAATGTACCGGGCAGTGATATGACACTTACGATGGTACCTTGCAGTGACGTAACACTTGTAACTGCCCCAGGGAATGACGCATCATCTGTTGGTACACCTGGCAGTGTTATAACACTTGTGACTGTGCCATACACTGTTGTAACACTTGTAGCTGCACCAGGGAATGAAATAACACTTGTGCCTGTACCAAGCAGTGATGTAACACCTGCGACTGGAACAGGCACCTGTGTTACAGCTGTGATTGTGCTAGGCGGTGTTGGTACATCAGTGGATGTACCAGGCAGTGATATAACACTTACGACTGTACCTTGCAGAGACATAACACTTGTAACTGCCCCAGGGAATGACGCAACATCTGTTGGTACACCTGGCAGTGTTATAACACTTGTGACTGTACCATACACTGTTGTAACACTTGTAGCTGCACCAGAGAATGAAATAACACCTGTGCCTGTGCCAGTCAGAGATGTTACACTTGTGACTGTACTAGGCAGTGATGTTATACCGGTGAATGTACCGGGCAGTGATATGACACTTACGATGGTACCTTGCAGTGA